ACCTAGTCAGCATTTTCGTTGACTTGCCATTTCAAACCCGATTCGTGTCAAACTTAATCCCAACGTGTATTAAGTTATAACCAAGCATTTTATGCCCTTTTTATCCCTTAAAACATCATATATGTTTTTATAAACATTTTCATATCATACTTCATTTATGATACCCATGGGTCATACATATAAGCCTAATCACTTTGGATAATCACATGTTTAAGCATCTTTTAAACATCATTATGAACACATATAACATTTACTTAGGTAATCTCATAATTAACCCAAGAGTTATAAGACATTAAGCCGTCCACTCACCTCAAATGAGCGTGATGAAGTTCTACCCTTCTCGGTTGAACTCCGGCCAAACTCCGGCAAACTTTGACGAACTCCGGTGATAACTCCGGCGACTCTTTAAACATCGTGAAAGCTCTTAAATCACCTTTGAAAAGTGCCTAACAAGGTTTTATCATCACAAAACCCCTATCAATACAAATAACCTTCAAAAGGTTATTTTCCGGCGAACCGGTCTCTTTGGCCTCTAAGTCCGTTCTTGGGCTTAGAGCTACTTTCGACCCCTTGTTCCACACTTATAACCATGTAGAACATCCTTAAGGGTATTTCATATGATATATAAGTCATATGAAATCAAAAGATGGAAGGAAAGTTGTTAAGGAGATTCTCACCTTTGTTCTCAAGGTTTTTCTCTACTTTTGCAACCTTTTTCTTCTTCCTTGAGTCCTTTGCTTTCTTGAGCTCTCTTGGCTATGGAGATGGAAGTTTGCAGAGCTCTCCTCCTTGATTGGGGTAGCTTGGGCGCACAAACAAAGAGGGAAGGGGTGAGGAGACTCCTTTTGTCTTAAATGGCAAATAAGTGAGGGGGGAGGTCCACTTTAGGTCAACTCTCACCCAACCATCACCCTCAGCCTACACACACCTCTCAACTCATGTTATGCAGCTCCCTTTGTCAACCATGAGCTCTCAAAAACGTGGGGTGGCCCCCACTCATGTGGGAGGTCATCCCATTATGTCCCGAAGTGTACATTCGGCCCCGAAAGTTATATTTTTTGGTCTATTGTAAATATATTTTATTTTATCGCGTCAAATAAAATGTATAGTATGTTACCAATCATTAAGGGCTTTCATAATGAGTATGCTTTCCCCAACTCAAATTTGGAAGTCCTCGAAATTCATTTCGGACTGTTATCCGATAAATTATCCAAAACTGGTAATTGGGCCTCGTTTGACCAATCGGTCAGCCCGATGTCTTTCTTATGGCCCAAAATGGATGTCCACCGCCATATAACTATTATCTATACCAAGATGAATAAAATATGCGGTCCCGGGAATATCGGGTGGCCCCCGCTCCCGGTGTGGGCCCCACGTGCAATTTACTATTCACACAAAAGAATTAACAAAAATTTACAACCTCGTAAATTCATTATTCATTTCATAATGTTCAATACATAATTTACATAAAAGTAAATATACTTGGGGACGGTGTTACACTCAGCCTCGTTAAATTTGGTAGTAACAATGTTCGTGACAGCGGGCATATAAAACGTCAATTGGGAAGTCAGCGAAGCCAAATAAGAAGGATTAGATGTAAAACCTGGGAGCTGCGTGAGGTGTTGATGTGGTAGAGGAGCAGTTGTGGGCTGGCCAGCAAAAGTAGACCCGAAAAATATAGGTAGTGGTGGCAGCTGCTGACCCGAGACAGAAAAGGCATCGGGCGAAGGACAAGCAAAGATAGGCGGCGTTGGGTTCCATGTGAAAGGCTCCGATATGTTGAACATTATGTATGAGGACATCGGTGGCGGAAAAGAGAAGCCAAACGTCTAGCAAGGCCGAGTGATAATCGGTGAAGAGAAAGTAACGGACTACTCCAAGGACGAGGACTACTCCGGAGTGATTAAGAGTGTCGTTGTGGAGATACTAATGGCCGAAGAAGACATAAAAGCAGATGAAGGCTACTCCATTTTGATGATGAGCGTCGTGGTTGTCACGCTAATTGCCAAAGAAGAGAGACGATGGATCAAGGTCTAGGGTAAACTAGGCTGCCGATACCATATGCAATAATAGTTGTGGAATGATGGCTCACCCTAATAAGGTGTCCTGATGTTATATTTATAATAAACAGAGAATAAGGAAAATACAAATATGTTCCAATACTATAGATTATTATTTTAGACCTATGCTCTTCCGATTTATGTTTTTTTTTTGTTTTTTGTATAGGCGTATTCAACCTTCAGACTATCAGGCCTTCAGCTTACTAGCCAGCGGGGTGTTCGGCAAAACGACCACTCGACCAGTGTTTCAGAGTTCAATTGACGTTTAAACAAGTCTATCGACGATCTGTAGGGGCACCAGCTTTGGACCTTCACTCAAGAGAAGTGGAGCACCAGGCCAACCGGTCAACCAAGCTTGCTTAGGCCCTGCTTTAGGTGTTCAATGATTATTCTTACCAAATGGCTAATAAAAGAGACAGAGGTAGTATACAGTAACATCCTCCATCCGTCCCAATATAAAAGGCACATTTGCGTTTCCACACATTTTTAGGGTGAACACTGTTTGAACACTGTTTGGCACTGTTTAGACATTGTTTGACACTGTTTGGACACTATTTGACACTGTTTGGCACTGTTTTGCACTGTTTTGTTTGCCAAAAGGGGAAATGTGCCTTTTATATTGGGACGGCCCGAAAAGGTAAGTGTGCCTTTTATATTGGGACGGAGGGAGTAATATTTATCGCCCAGATACGAAGTATACATTTAAAATTAATTATAGTGTATATCTAAAATAATTGCAAAGATAATATACTTATGTATGCTTTTGTTTTTGTTATCTTGATAAAGCTTATTCAAGTATGAATATTATTAGTTTGGTACTGATTATTTTTATTGTACACATCATTTACTATTTTAGTTGATTATGTGTTTACAAGGGATAACTTGCATTATGCTTAAGAGAGTTTACATGACTTTTGCAGTAAAGAATGCTTGGATGTCTTTGGATGGTTGGAGCAAATGAGAATCCTCTCTATTTATAGTGTTAGCCCAGCTTTCTACCTCCTCAAGGGAAGGTTCTAGAATATCCTAGATCTTTAGTATGTACAAAAGTGTTCTAGATAGTTCTATTCTACTCTATAACTATGTACCATTCTTCCATAATGTTGATAACCTAGAACATTATGCACTTTTCTAGGGGATCTAGGATGTTCCTAATTATTACAAGTACTTCTGTGTTTCTCTGGGAGCGACATTCTAGAAGTTTCCAAAAACATTTATGTGACATCCCCACCTAAGTTTTTGAATTCCTTTTCAAATTTGACTTGAACCCTTCAATCATGTCTTAGAACTGTCAAAAGGCCTTATTCAGACTCACAAGTATACTCACTTTCGAGTTGGTTTTTCCATCACACGAAGTAGTCAGTCTACTTAGGTAGTCCCCATTCGCGAATAACTCGGTCAACTAATCTCATCGACTTCCTTGACGAAAGAGACCATGTTCGGCATTGGAACTCGATGAGATTCATTCCGGGATAGGTCCTCCCCGTCTCTATTGTAAGATATAAAAAGACTCACATAGAAAACCGAGTGTATCTTTAAGTGTGATGGTAAAGCTAATTTGTACGATCTTATGCCCATCTTCTCACTTACTTGGTATAGTCCTTCATATCTTTATGTCAAATCTTAGTGCACTTGACGCGTAGACTTGATCATTTTCTAGGGTTAGCTTTACCCTCACCTCATCCCCGACAATGAATTCATCAGCTTTCTCACAATGTCAGACCATTTCTTCATTTGTTTTGTTGCTTTGGTCAAGTAGCTCCAGGCAATGTCTATCCTCGTTTTTTCACCCTTTAGCAATTTTGTAGGATGATGAGCTTGAACCTTTGTATTTTGGTAGTTCTTGAGGTGTCATCGGTCGTTCTCCGGTGTAGGTTATAAGAGAATTGGGCTATATCTATGTAGCTCGACTCATTCTCATGGTTGACAAGTGTCTCACCCTCTCTGTTTGACCATCAATTTGAGAATGAAAGTTTGTAGAGAAGTAGAGATGTGAACCCATTAACTTGAATAGTTACCTCCAAAGCTTACTAGTGTAGCGCGATTACTTATGATGGGCCGATGTCTCAAACACTTTGCCACATGTTTGAAGAATAGCTTACTCGCTTTCTCAGCTATGTGATATGCGATTTCACAATGTAGACATATTTGTTTCTTACTTGGAGAATCAACCGACCAAAAAAATTATGAAGCCCTATATGACTCCACTATGAAATAATATAGCTCATGTGGTCTCATATCAACCCTTCATTTTTATAGTGGATTTATAATGGAGGAATTCATTTAATAAATGAATGATTGTGATGATGAGACATGTACTACATGACTCCAAAGCAGAACCACATTGGACTCCATAAAATTTCCCATCAATCGACAACCACCGTTATAAAATCGCATCCCCCATATGTGTTCATTAACTATTTTTCTATTTGATCTATTTTAATTAATTTGAACTCATTCAGGATATTTTTACTTGGACTGTTTTCCATAGTTATAAACTACACAGAGACCAGATATTTACCAGATCAGTTTAGATTAAAACAGACCAAACCAGTTCAAACTAGATCAAACCAGATTTAAACAGAATATTTCAGATGAGACTAGACCTAAACAGATCAGACCAGATCAACAAATTTCAATCCAAGTAAAAACATCTTCGGTCGCTTTGGTATGATTTGAGAGTGAAGTTAGGATGTTTTTACTTGGATTGTAATTTGTTGGTCTGGTTTGAACTGATCTGGTCTGGTCTGGTAATGTCTGGTCTCTTTGTATTTTATAATTATCCTAGTCTGGTCTGATCAGATCTGTTCTGTTCTGGGATAGATTACAGTCCAAATAAAAACATGATCACTCCTAATGAACAGTTCCTAAAGCAAAAGGAACTTGGCTTGACAATTAAGGCCCACTCCAAAACCTATCAACTAGTTTGAAATGTTGGGCCGGTAATTGAGATTTAAGAACATACGTGATAGAGTTACTAAGTGCTGAAAGCTTCTAAACGACGTAGCCATCTCTTCCTCCATGCGTCTGTTAAGCTTAATTATCATCGAGCAGAAAATATCAAATTCAAATTCTCAAATACATTTACTACGTACAACGTATATCTGAACTATACTGGACCATCTAGCAAGCTTTATCGCGGATTCTTGGCATCTCAGCTGAGGATAAAATGCGAATTGGGTTCACTCGAGCTTTGGTATCCTCCCTCGCTAGATCATAGATAGAATGATTGATCAGTTGATCTACTCAACCGACATACAAGAAGGTTCTTTCCACCTTTCTCTCCATACTTCGACTCTTTGAAGTTTTTACCTTTTTCCCTGCTATAGATCTGCATTTATGTCACTGAAATGAGGTCTCTAATCTTGTGCTCGAATTAGGTATTTGGTTTACTTTCCGTTCAGAAGGCAGCTAGGAAACTGTTGAGTTGAACTGTGTTGTTTGATGAATTCTTGAACTTGAAATTACTACCCTTTAAAATCAAAGTCAGAAGCTTTGCCACATTAGGCAAAGTTAGAAACTTTACGTTATTTAGTTAGGTCTAGTTAGGTGAGGCTGAGAGATGTACAGTTATCCATGCGTTTGATTATTTGCATTGCGCTACCTACTATTAGGATTTGTTCTATGACCACAGGTCGTATATCTTATGGATATAATTTGAGAAGAACCGCAGAGGCAGAAGTTTTGGGCAGAAATGAGGGGTGAGTGTGGGAAAGGGACCATTATTTGACGGAGATATTTTATCCAAATTTGTCATACATCTGGAATTGATACCTAGAATAGTAATGCAGATTCCACTACTTCTTTCCTCAATCTTATCTTCCCTTTGCAACTGCATAATCTCAGGAGAATGCAACAAGCTTTGATGGTGTACATCGGTAAATGGAACGATGAGCTTCCCTGGGTATGAAGTGGCTATTAAGGTCGAAGAAGAACGTTTTATGTGTTTTCTTTAGTTCTTACACAAAACGTGTACATGATTAGGCAGTTGTTGTACTTGAGGCATTAAAATAGCAATGATATTTTTTATGACCAATTGACAATGGAAGGCATGATGGAAATGTTTGATCCAGATGATTAGTTATTGCTCAAATAGTATCTATGCTTCTAAAACATCATCATACCCAATGATTACCTGGAGTCGTGGACAGGCCTTTGGCATTTTACTGGCCAACTTCAGGATAACTATCTACAAGCATTCTTATGCAGCCACTTAGTTAGGTGATTGTAGTGCTATTCTCACAATAAAGGAGGAGAGAATTAGTTGAATCAGCTCTTTAGTAAAACTGTGAAGTGTCTAGTTTTTCCAATTTTTTGCCTTATGGTGCAACATGCAAGAGCTTTTTATTCAGTAGATATGGACATTGTGAATTTAATAATCAAATGATGATCTCTCATTCCCGATTGCTCATTTGCTACACGCGCTTTCCATGATATCTCTTTTGAAGTTCAGCTGAGTGCTATCATCCATTCTGTAGTCAACTGTTGTTGTGGATTTTTCCTGCCTCATATACCCCAACTGTAGTTGATTTCAAAATCAGGCCAAAGGTAGAAGTACACCTACAGTAGGAGGTCTAAAGCTAGAATTCTTTTTTACTTTATCTTCTACCACGATTATAGTTTTCACTATTGTCTAAATGGGATAAACCTTTGGGTTGGCACTTGGCAGTTTAACTGGTCAATGTGTTACTTGTTCTCTTATGGTTTTGTCTAACAATTTTGATGCCTGTGTCAACTTCATTTAGTAAAAACTACATGTGTTGTTTAACTTGTTTTCAAAAAACAATATCTACACTTAACATTATTACATAATTACTACCTCCGTCCTGGCTTAAGCTTTTCGTTGAAAAAGGACACAATTATTTAGACAATAATTATATAAAGTAATTTGATTATATTTTGAGAAGTAGTTTGATGAATATTCAACATAGTGAGGTTATTGATGATAAATATCATGTTATAGGTATATTATTTTTAATATTTGATGATTAATTTATCACTTAAGAGTTCTAATTATTTCCTAAAATAGAAATGAGAAGCTTTAGCTAGGACTTCTAAAAGATGCAAGTGAGAAGTTTGTGTTGGGATGGAGGGAGTACATGATTTTCAAATCCACAAATATGTGATATTTGTTTCAATTCATTTGAAGCAAAAGTTCATATATTTGCTGGTTTGCTATTTACTGGAATTTCAATTCTTGAAGCTGAAGCATGACCCTGACCTATATTGAGAAAAGTATGTCAAGCATTGTTGTGCCCTTCTAAAAGGGAGATGTCCTGAAGAAAATGGAATAGACAATGCTAGCCTCTTATATTTTGTTCTTTTGGTATGTAAAACTTGCCTTCCTTTATCTTGATTACATTGGATTCTAGAGACGTTTAAAATGAAAATGGCTCTCTATTTAAAATCTTTTGAAGCATTTGCGTTTTTTCAGTGTCATAATTGTTTGTGGAATGCCACGTCTTTTCATGCGTTGTCTCCTTTGAGGGGAAACATTTATTCATTTTCATTTTTTGATGATTAGGGGAGTGCATCTATCTTATTCAGGCAGTTGTAATTAACCAGTGTCCAATGTCCATTGCTTACAACGTGGATGATTATCTTTTTTGTGTTTTCTGTACTTTCTTCTGAAATGCTGACCCCCAACTCTTTAGGGACTAAGGCTTGGTTGTTGTTGTTGTTGTACTTTCCTCTCTAAAAGTTTATTTCAATTAGCAACTCAGGAAATTACTAAATGTGTTAACGTTTCCTGCTCTAGGTTTGATACTTTGAGGCTGATAGTCCTGAAGCAACTTTGTCATGGGGGTTTCTGGAAAGTGGTTTAGGTCACTGATTGGTTTGAAAAGACCTGAAAAATCATATACCAGTGGACATGATGAAAATGTAAGCAGCATCTTCTTGTTAATATCCTTTTCTCCCTTCCAAAGAAGGGCAGACATCGTTATATGCATGTTAAAGATATTAATTGGATGATATTAAAAAGAAATAACAAGTAATCTACTTCAATCAAATCTCTCAGATAGGAACTTCCAATACCCTATCAGAGAAATTTTATTGAAGTAGATTACTTGTTATTTCTTTTTAATATCATCCAATTAATATCTCTAACATGCATATAACAATGTCTGCCCTTCTTTGATATGAAGCAGCAGTCAGTCCATGCAATTTTGACGCGATTTTCACTATGGGTCATCCGGAAAGAGTCTGTCTGTGCTTCAGTACAAGGGTAAGACTGTGGACATCCAACCCCCCCTTACCCCAACCGAAAGTGTGGGAGCCTTTGCGGCACCGGGGTAATGATGATGATGGCATATAAGTATATAACAATGTCGTATTATATGCATCAGTTTTTGAATGCCATTAACTAGTATTTAATGCTTCGTACTTGTTTTAATCGTTTTCCTATCTAGTTAATTACTCCTGTAAATGAACCTATTAGCAAGGGTGAACAATTTGTTCCAAACTGCAGAAAACTGGAAGCACGAAAAAGTCTACACACAGGAGAAAGCATTCTGTTGAAATTGATAGGGACCCACTTCAGAATGAGTTCGGTCATAATGATGATGTCAGCATTTCAGTTCGCGTTGGTGTTGGTTCACCTTCTTACTCACATCAAGTGCAGGGTCCAGCTCAAAGTCAACTAAGTATGAGAAAAGAATGGGCAGCAATTCGTATTCAAACTGCTTTTAGAGGATTTTTGGTACTGAATTTTCTTTCAAGTCAGTTGCCATATATATCATTCTCCATTTAAATAGATAGTTCTTGCAGGTTTTGCCGCCTAGATTCTGCCTCATTTTTCCAGAGTGTTGCTACCCATTTAGACTTTGAGTCTTAAAGCAATCACTACATGCTTATTTTCCAATCTTTAATTATACTCATCTCCCTAAATAATCTTCACAACTTTCCTTTTTCGTCCAATCTAAAACCCTTTCTCTTGAGGAAAGCAATATGTGGTTCACATTATTTCTCTCACTTCTAATAAGTCTACGACCAATCAAATTAGGTGTTAATTTGGGCACCGGAGGGAGTACATTTTTTATGGATCAATTCTTAATGTATATATATACAACATAGTTAGTATTTTTTAGTATTAAACATTTAAACTAAAGAAAGATACACCCTCCGTCCCTAAATTAGCTTCTATAGTACATTTGGTATGGGAATTCAGATAGTTGTATTGTGTGGTGGAGGGTTGTGCTGAGGAGAGAGAAATTTGTAAGAATGTTTAAGAATTGCTTTGAACCACAAATTCTTTACCAAAAGGGAAAAGTGAAAGTTTGTTTTGGAAGTTTGGAAGTTTAATCAAAGACGGAGAGAGTATTATAATTTATAGCTCAGTGTGTAACAATGGCTTTAGTGCTTATTTTCATTTATGGAGATGTACAATCCATCTTGTGACCCAACTAGATTTGGGTGTATGACATTTTTGAGTTTTTCTTTTACTTTTAGGGTATTAGCCTTATGAAGTTTGAGACTCTAAGTGTCTGTTTGAAACCCAAAATATGATAAAATGTCAGGGAAATAAAATATATAGGAAAATGTTGGGTAAATTTGGAAACAAAGCAAAATTGGTGGAAAGTAAAACATGGTTGCAAGTCAGTTAATTAGTTTTTGGTATTTGTGTACAGATATTTTATTTGTTAATTTATGTTGATAAATACAACCCATAAAAACAAGCAAATTAAAGTCTGTGTGGGGTACTGTGGTTTTTATGTTTATTGCTGTTTGATATTGTCTGAACTATAAAATAATGGTGATTGGTTAGGCTAGGCGGGCTCTGCGGGCATTAAAAGGATTAGTGAGACTTCAAGCACTTGTGAGGGGTCATGCCGTAAGAAAACAAGCTGCTACTACCCTCCGATGTATGCAAGCTCTTGTGAGAGTTCAAGCCCGCGTCAGAGCAAGGCGTGTTCGTATGGCACTGGAGAGTCAGACCTCACATCACAAGCTTCAGCAAAAACTAGAACATGATGCCCGCGTTCGAGAAATAGAAGTAAGTAGCTGCTGTAGTTTTCATTATTTATTACCTCTTGTGCTCCATTCGTTTTTGGGGAAAAAATGTTGTGGAAAATGATTGCCAAAGAAATTCTTTTCCAATAATATGTTTTCCTGAAAAAGGTTTGGCAAGGAAAATCTTTTCTTGAGGAATGCTATATTAGGAAAAAGTTTTCTAAAGACTTTTTCCACCAAAGACTTTTCCTTCATGGTGGCAAACATAGGAGCATGTATTTTGGAAAATGTTTCCATTTGACAAGCACAGTAAAATTCGAAAATATGTTCTTGTAAACAAATGGAGTTTTTCACTATAATATTATTATTACGATCACTACTACTACTACTACGTATTATTATGATGGGGCAGAAACTTACAAAGTAAACATTGTTTACTTATATTTTTATATTATTATTGTTTTTACATTTTTGAAAGAATTTGAATGTTACCGTATTTTTATATTATTATTGTTCCTGTTGTTGTAGGATTTAAGCTCTTGATGTACCCTTTCCTGTTCAGAAAATTGTGAAGAATTATATTCTTTGGATGCATATATAAAATGGAGTTGTGATGTGTACATTGTGATGATTAGCACAAACATGTATCTAATATCCTCTATTCCTCTGTCATCTTGATACCAAATTTTCAGGGAGGGTGGTGTGACAGCATCGGCTCTGTTGAACAAATTCAAGCCAAACTTTTAAAGAGACAAGAGGCAGCAGCTAAGCGTGAGAGGGCGATGGCTTATGCTTTGGCTAACCAGGTTAACATTTTTAACATCTCAGAAATGTTATGTTATGTTATGTTATGTTATGTTATGTTATGTTATGTTATGTTATGTTATGTTATGTTATGTTATGTTATGTTATGTTATGTTATGTTATGTTATGTTATGTTATGTTATGTTATGTTATGTTATGTTATGTTATGTTATGTTATGTTATGCTATGCTATGCTATGCTATGCTATGCTATGCTATGCTATGCTATGCTATGCTATGCTATGCTATGCTATGTTATGTTATGTTATGTTATGTTATGTTATGTTATGTTATGTTATGAACATGAAAAAAGCTAGGGAAGGGAAAATGCTACGGAATATAGTTTTTAATGATTGGTTTTACTTAGAAAAAATATAAAGGAAAATCTAATTTCTTTATAATTTTATAAAACTTTTCAATATTTATACTGCGTATTTTATAGTCTTTATATAATATTTATACAACTGACTGAAGTTTGAACAAATACTTTGAAAAATAATTCTCAAATTTTTTTCCTTCCAAATATCTCTCTCTATTTTCTTTGGGAAAATTGCACATCTGGTCCTGTATCTTTCAGAGAGTACCCCAAATTGACATTGGATATTTTCAGAACCAAAATTTCTTAAAATGAGCTAAATAAAGACTTGCAGGACCAAATATGATAATGCTTCTAGCCTTGAGACTATTTTGGGTATTTCCTTGCTGGACCAAATTGAGCTAAATTGACATATGCACTTTTCTTATTTCTTTCCCTAGCATTTTCCGGGTTCCACACGGACCCTTAAGGCTTTTTCCTTGGTGAGTTGTCTTATTATCTTCTAAACTAGTTTCTCACAAGGGTCTTAGTTATTTCTGTTTTTTGCTATAACAATAGTTTTTGAGCTTCAAGGGAATCTTTGCTTTGATGCTTTAGTGGCAGGCAGGATCAAAGCAGCATGCTACTTCAGGTGGTTTTGAACCTGATAAGAACAATTGGGGCTGGAACTGGTTGGAGAGGTGGATGGCTGTTCGTCCATGGGAAAATCGCTTCTTAGACATGAATATTGCAGATGGAGTTAAGATTCAAGATGATTATGGATCAGAAGACGTAAAAAATGGAAGCAATAACCAGATGAAATCCTCTGTCAGCAAGAAACCGTTTTCTTCCACCACCCCAATTGAGATAGTGGGTCCTTCCCATTCAAGCTCTAGCACGCAAGAAGCACCTTCTACATCGTGTGGCCCACCAAACTCCAAGTTAAATCCAGAAGGTTTAGCTGAAGAAGTTAGTTCAAGACCTACAATTGGCTCAAGGTCACAAAGCAATCCTAAAGAGAGGATTGCTGCTTCGGACAAACAAGGAAAGAGAAGATTGTCTCTACCCACTAGTGGTCAGTCTCTCTATGTCTGGCTTATGTTCCCAATTATATCTTTCTCTTTAGTTTTTATAATCCCTCCATATCATATTTAACTCTTGTTTTGACTTTGCACAGTTTTTAATAAACTAAAAACTATGTGGTAGAAATTTGTTTATGAAAAAAACATCAACCACGAAAAAGGAAAGAGGCGATAATCTAGGGACAGAGATAACGAAAGGAGAAAGTTTACTTTAGGACAGAAGAAGTATTTACGGCTATAAAGCATGTTGATAAGTGTGTTATACATATAAGATTCATATTCTCTTTTATAAAAGTATAGTCCATCTGATTAAAAAAAATCCATGTGAATTTCATAAAGAAATACGGAGTATTCTTTATGTATTGTCAAAATGGGGAACATGTTTAAAATTATATTCCAAAAATATTCAAGATTATGTTTACTTTTTGTATAGGGGCAAGGTTGCATACACCCAACCCCCTTACCCCACCGTAGGTGGGAGCCATTGCGCACTGGGGTAATGTTGTTGTATTCTGTTTTCTTTTTAAAAAAACTAAAGGCAGAGAAAATATTGGCTATGTTAGGCTAGTGGCGTATCAGCCAAAATGCCATTAAACTAAAACGTGAAACACTGCAATTTGCAGTGGATTGGAGGTTGAACAGCCAAAATTCAAACAAGCCCATTGTCTAATGGGTTATCTACTTATCTTACTACTGTTATCGTAAAATACCTGAAGATCCACATGGACCGAGCTGTATTGTGTGTTTAATCTGGTAAACACCTTTGTGGGTAGATTGCTTTTATTATGTTCCGATTATAAGCAGTTGCCTGCTTGCTTTACTTCATTTGGCCAGGGAAACAGGGCATTATTGGAACTCAAGCAACAAGGCTGCCCGGTCGGCCTGTTGTTAAGAAGACAACTAATGCACTGAAGGTTACAAAAGACAAACCCAAAACTAAAGTGAATGAACCGAAGTCTAATTCCCAGTAGTTGTGAATCAGTTTTTAGATCAAGTGTTGAAGTTTGACTTGTCTGCCTCGTGTTTATGTTGTACATATGTTATTGGGAGTAAGAAGCTGTGGCGGTTCTTAGAGCAGTCTCTTTTTGTGTAAATCTATTCAGAAATTATCCATTGTGCATCTTAGATGCAGTTCCTCGTGTTTGTTGTTTGTTTCCTTCCCCGCTGTAGAAAAGTTGAGTGATTTTCCCAGTTCAGGTTTCTTGTGGTTAGAGTGGTGAGAGTTGATCGGTTGAGCCTTGAGATGCTCAGTTCTTGTAATAAATATAATTCTTTATTTAAAAATGTTTAAGAATGTATTGTGTGCTGTAATTTCACCCCTCCATTTTCTGCAATAATTTTGATAAGCATGTAACAGGTTAATATATAAGAATGTTATTTCATATGGAACCAATTGATTTGTTCTACATATGGAGTACTCCGTAGTATAGTTAGTGGTGGACCGGTTCCGGGCGGACCGGCCCGGCACTATTTGGAACCGGCCCAGCCTGGTGGCCCGGCCAGAGACCGGTCCAGGTAGGCCCGGTCCGGGGGTTATACGGGTCGGGGTCGGGTCACCCAAAATAGAAATGGGCCGGGCCCTGAATGGGCCTTTTTTTTCAATTTTTTTTTTTTGTTTTTTCCCGGGTTGGGTTGGGTGTTTTGAAGGGGTTTGGGGGGTAGGGGTCGGGGGTTAATTAGAAAAGCAAAAAAAAAAAATGAAGAAACCCGGGGACCGGTCCGGAACCGGTGGAAACCCGGGCCGGTTCCGGGCCCGAAGCCAAACCCTAAAAGCCCGCCCAGGCCCGGCCCGGGACTGGTCCATGCTCATATGTACTCCATATATGTTACCTGCTCATTAAAGTTATTGTAATTTTCTAATACTATCGTAATAAAGTGGGATTTTTCATTTTCCAAATATAAAAAGACGGTGTGAGAAATATAATGGATTATAATAATGTTTTTACTTCGATTGTTTTCAGTCTCAGACCAGACCAAATTTAAACATACCAGACCAGACATAAACAGATCAGACCAAACCATATTTAAACATATCAGACTAGACTTGGCTTCTGTAGTTATAAAATGCACAGAGACCAGACGTTTACCAGATTAGGCCAGACTAGACTTTAACCGATCTGATCGGATCAAACCAGACCAGCAAATTACTGTTCAAGTAAAAACATCCTAAGTGTAACAAATTAATCCAACATTTAAACGACTTTAATGGGTTTCTAAAGACTTAGGATGTTTTTACTTGGATTGTTTTTGGTCCGAAACTAGACTTAAACAGGCCAAACCCGTCCAGATCAAATTTAAACACATCAGACCAGACTTGACTTTCACAGTTATAAAATAACTGAGATCAGACGTTTACCAGACCAGACCACACCAGACTTAAGCAGACCAGACTAGCAAATTACAATCCAAGTAAAAACATCCTTAATTTTACGGATCCTAATATAATTATAGAATTTTATTATATACTTGTAATACTCCGTTAGAACTTACTGGGATTCTATGTTAATGAAGTGTGTAGATTCTTCATTCTAGTGGATTTTGAAGTCATGACTCATGAACATTAACTACACAAGCAACAAAAGGAAAGATTTAAAAATGAAATCATTATGATAAAGTCCATGCATAAGATAAAATGTAGAACATAAAAAGATTGTTCAAGATATCAAAGACAATGTTGAGCCTACATTGCTAGCGCCCGTAACACTACCCCTCATTCTACAATGAGTACAATTCGTTAACTTGGCTGCACTCCCTCCCCTTCCCTGCCCTCTATGCTAATCCCCTACTCAGCCGCCGCATCACTACCTCGTAAATCCTTGTCGTCCCATCATGTAATACGTAAGATTAGATTAAAACGATTAATGGTACCATTCATATCAATAAAGGACACCTTCTTTTATTAAGAACTCCAGGTGAGCATGTCGGCAGAGAGTAGTCTTGGGATGACTGATGAGCAACCGTATTAGAAATCTCTCAGAGCGCGTATAAGTGAGGATAAAATGCCAGTAAAGTGGGATGCAGCGGCGGACACAGGCATGGGCAAATAGGGGTCGCTGCCCCTCCAAAAACATATATTTTCTAGGTATATTTATCCCGGAATTTTAATATATATGTATTTATATGTATTTTTTTACACTGTCACCCTGTAAATCGAAAATTCCTGAGTGACAATCGTATGTGGTGGTGGTGTGGGAAAGCGGAGCAGTGGCACCAAAGAGAGCTGAGAGAGACTGGTGGCTAACTGTGAGCTGAGGGAGCTGAGGGAGAGTGGGGCTAGGGTGTATTTGTGTTTTAATTGAAAAATAGTCTCTTTTTATTCATATCTACTTTGTCCTATATTTATCCATTCAAAACACTTAAGGGATAGTTCCCGAAATAGGACTAAAACAGTTTGAAAATTCCAAAATAGGACTGCCATGTTTTTTATTCCCAAAATAGGAGTAATTACTGCCATGTTTGGAAAATACTGCCATGTTTGAAGTCTGGTACTGCCAAAACATGGCAGTAATTAGTCCTATTTTGGGAATAAAAACATGTCAGTCCTATTTTGGAATTTTGAAACCTTTTTAGTCCTATTTCGGGTAATATCCCAACACTTAAATACGTAGTAATATTTATGTCATTATCCCGTAATACTTTCAGGCTTTCAATGAGTAAAAATATGATCAAGATTGACTTAGGACAACTAATAAGTGACTAAAAGTGATTCCAATTACCTTCTATATAACCCCTACTTTGGAATCCTAATTCCCAACACGTACGCTTACAACTTTTTCAATGAACACCCCTTTGAAATGGTGACAATTACGGAGTATAATTTGATACTATATAAACTGGTTGTGTGTAATGACATTTTGAGACTAAATATAGTGGTCTTTTCTAATTGTAATTTGAGACAATAGAAATTTGTTGCATCTGAGTGCATTTTGAGGTTGGATATTTGTGTTGCCTCTAATGATGTTTCGGAGCAAGCTATTATTGATTGCCTCTAAATGTGTACATTTTTGCATCACGCCTTTGATTGCTTCTAAATGTGATTTTAGAGTCAACCGATCATTTAGAGGCACCTAAATTTCCTCAAAAAATCATTAGACGCAATCATCATTTTTTAGAAGCAATTCTGTCCCGCCTTTGTGAATCTATTTTGTTGTAGTGGCCCTTTCAACCATCTCACTGTGTCAAGGAGAAAACTACAAACTTTTATAAAAGCAAGGATAATGATTCATCCGTTCAACACGAGTCAGACTTCGGCATCGCAAGAGTCATTGATAGGAGAGTTCTTTGCACTCATTATATGCTAATATTAAATCTTCATCTAAAGAGATAAGGGATGCTTGAGTGTTCAAGGAATGGAGAGGTGTTTGTTTCTCGTTTGTGAGGTGGGGGAAATAATGGTTAGGGTGTTGGTGAATTAGGGGAAAGATTAGGGCCTAAGGGGTCTTTATGAGGTATTGACTATTGAGACTTGCTATAGGTGGTGATGGTGCCATTGGATGGGATAGTAATTTAAAGGCGGGTGAGGTGTCACTAGCACTGACACCATGATCCGGGGCGGAGTAGGCACTAAACTAGACTAGGTCGATATAAATAATATTTTTGAAAAAAATATATATAGAATTAATGAATTATTTGCGTTAAAAAACGTAAACATTTTTAACTTTTGGGATGAGTCGGGATCGTGATTGGTCCCCCTAGTTAAACCATGATAGGTTGTGGTGCCACTTTGTGTGGTGGTGCAGTTAGAGGTTGATCTAGCGGCAATGATGGGATGAAACATAAATAAGTTGGTAGTGAGGTTTGTCATCGACAATTATATTGGGTGATCAGCCAAGCTTTTGTGTGCAATGGCGCCACAACACTGTCATTGCTAGTTGTCACCGTTGAGTGAATTTAAACTTTAATAGTCTAAATATAATATTAATATAAGGGGTAAAATAACACCTTTTTGAACATATAAAAATTGCATTTATGTTAATGACTTATACACACGCATGCATAGATGTGTCATGTGTGTGAGCATGCATACGCACACATGTATTATTTACACACGGTGACATTGTGAGAAATACATCGTAGGGGGTGTCAAAACTTAACTAGTTACAATATTAAAGGGTTAAATCGTTTGAAGACAATACTCGAGTTACATAATTCATATGTGGGTGAGATAAGTTTTAATTCAACTAAGTCTTAGAGAGCTATTGTTCGATTTATATGTGTGGAGGTATTGGCCCATTTAAGGCCTTGGCAGCCCTCTCCCTTTGTTGGGCCTGTCCGTTTGTCCTTAGCCCCAGCCCATCCCTTTACCCGGTTCTGGAACCCTCTTTTAGGGCTTTCCCTGACCCTCGGTATTTAATCCCTCTTACCCGCTCAGTGGGGTTTGAGGTCTTCGGTTAGAGAGAGAGTGAGGCAGAGAGTGAGATAGAGAGAGAGACTTCAAGTCTCTTCTCCGACCTCTTCGTGTTATATCTCCGGTTGCTTCCTCCCTTTGACTTGGTGTGCGTTGAGATGGCTGGGCTGGCCTGAGTGTGACTGTCCTTCCCGGTGGTGCTTGGTGTGAGCTGTTTGAGCGTGGTCTGAGCTGGAGAGGTGAAAACCTGACAGTGGTATCAGAGCCGGAACTCCCGTCGTCCTCGCCGGCAGCCCAAGAGCTCCTCCGCCGCCATCCACCGCAGATCTCCATCGGTTGGTAAGTCGGGATACCCAACCTCGGGTTCCCGCTCAGGTAAATTGGCAATAAACATCCTAGGTAGCCGGGTGCCTCCGGTAGTGTGTGAATCTGTGGTCCTTTACTTGTTTCATCCCCTCCCCTGTTGTGTTTGTTGCTGCTGACCCGCTTGGTCAGGCTGTCAGCTGTGTCTGACTACTTCCAGGTGCGTACTCACAATCTTTGTGTGTGGATCTGTGCTTGCATGTGTAATTTAGCCTATTGCATGACTAGATCTGTGGGTTATTCTGGTTGTATGCATATTCCGGGTTAGGGTTTGATTCTGTATTCTGGTGATTCCTTTATACCGGAGTGTTTTATCTGCGTGTTCCCTGTACTTTGCTTCTGTCTGGTATTCCTGAGTTCTGGTTAGTAACCTGTGTGACTTGGCACCTGAGGTTAGGTCTGACGGGTCCCCTGCCAGCCACTCTAGTGGCCTTCGGATCTGCGTGGCCTGTCAGTCCGCAGCCGGGTACACTGGTGAACCCTAGTTGTTGTTCTCTCTCTTGGTGTGTTGCTTGTTGTGTCTCTTATCATTGCTGAACCTTGTTCTTTTCTCTCTTCTTTGCGTGTTGCCATGTCTGCCAACATGTATGGTATGCTCCCTTTTAATGGAAAAACCGATTTTGACATTTGGAAGCAAAAGAT